CACAACCACTACTCATAGTATGTATACCTATGTATTTTTAAACATCATTATGAGATTTAAGTATACATAGGTGCCCATAATATGAGTAGCGGTATTGAGACGGTTTTTTGTTATGATGAAAATGTTGTGTGATATGAAAAAGCAACAAAATATATTATCGATTGCAGCAACTATACCTAATTTACATTTAGTATGTCCAATTAATATAGAACATTATACCTATGCATGATTTTAAAAATTTGCTACCATTATATTTTGATAGTTGAGTTTTTGAAATTATTTGTTAGCTTCTTAAACAAAACAAAAATAAATCAGAATAATTTCGTATATTTTTCATTTTATTGATTTTGTGTAAAGCACTGTTCATAAAAATGTTGTTTCCTATGTTATAGGGCTTGTTTCTCTCTACAATTTCCTGTCTCACAATGTACCGTTTGTATCCAGGAAGCGGTCATAGTTTCATAGTTGTCGATTTTCGAAAGAAATCTGAATTATTTCGTATATTTTTCATTTTATTGATTTTATGTAAAGCACTGTTCATTAAAATGTTGTATCCTATGTTATAGGGCTTGTTTCTCTCTACAATTTCCTGTCTCACAATGTACCGTTTGAATCCAGGAAGGGGTCATAGTTTCATAGTTGTCGATTTTCGAAAGAAATCTGAATTATTTCGTATATTTTTCATTTTATTGATTTTATGTAAAGCACTGTTCATTAAAATGTTGTATCCTATGTTATAGGGCTTGTTTCTCTCTACAATTTCCTGTCTCACAATGTACCGTTTGTATCCAGGAAGGGGTCATAGTTTCATAGATGTCGATTTTCGAAAAGAAATCAGAATTATTTCGTATATTTTCATTTGATTGATTTTATGTAAGCACTGTTCATTAAAATGTTGTATCCTATGTTATAGGGCTTGTTTCTCTCTCTACAATTTCCTGTCTCACAATGTACCGTTTGTATCCAGGAAGGGTTCACAGTTTCATAGTTGTCGATTTTCCGAAAAGAAATCAAGAATTATTTCGTATATTTTTCCATTAACTAAATTTTAACACCGTTACTCCTAAACCAAGAAAGATGAAAAAAGAAACCACAATTTAAACTTAATATAAATAGATAATTATTTAAGTATTATAAATCCAAAATTATATTAAAATATAACACTTACGACGTTACTAAAATTAACTATTTCTTCTTAATCATTTAATAATTCTGATAAAAACACGTTTGATTATTTATTTTAGAAATCATACGGGCTATAATCGATAATATGACTATATTAACAATACTTAAATCAAAATTTATTTGAAGGAATGCTACTGTATTACAGTAATTATTGTAAAACAAGTATGTAATAATAATAATAACTCGGAATAATTACTAAAACTTTTATTAGCCGTTTAGCTATAATTTTATTTCAGATAATGCAGATTTTAATGTGCCATTTGTGTTTTTTATTGGAATTATTATTTTTAGCTATATTTGGTATATATATACTCTATGAAGTGATTTTAAGTGTTCCTGTCCATTTTTCAATTATTAAAGTGCCTATTTAGATACATTTAAAAATTAATGAGATTGGGTGTTTGGTATTTTTCCTATTAAAATAAACATAGCTTACTAAATCACTAGCTAGTAATTTTTTAAATACAGGGTGTTTATTAAGTATCTGGCCAAACTTCAGGAAGGTGATTCTTTGAGTGTTTAAGGTAAAAGTTCATATATACATGTGTCGCGGAAATCTATAATCTTATGCTTTCTTTATCCACCGCACGCCGGCCCAGTCCTACACATCCATAACCATAAAATAGTTGGCCCACACCGATAAGACCTCATTTTGGGCCCTCGAACGTCCTTGCACTATTCGATGACCGCCGGCTAAACTATCGTGTTGACAAGTTGATTAGGCAGGTTATTGAACTCGCGTACGTATGTCGTTTTTTCGAAGATGGGTCCCATATAAACGTGGCCAGAAGTATTTTCAATACTAAAAATACTTACTACACCACCTTTTTGTATGGCAAAACACCCCACTGACTGGCCTAATAGTCATAGTTCATGGTTTAGTTAGGTACAAAGTACAAATGTTACCAAATGATTTTTTGTTATGTGTTATGTTTATTATTTATTATACGTTATGCTCCACTGAGGAACTAAAGATACAATGATGATGATGATGATGACAATACAAGAGTGTACACGCGACACAACAGGCGATAGAAAAAGTGGTAAAGACAGGATTTAAATGAAATTTGGTATGTGGATTGATGATTGACTGTGATAGTCATTTTCAACGTAAGAAACGTTAAAAGTTGATATCGTTCACACGATTCCACCGTGTAAAGTTGGATGAAGAAGTTTTACTTCGAATATGCGCACATAGTACATACACACAATTTTATAACTTTTCCAGCCATTTTTGATTTATTATAAAGTTTTAAAAAAGTTGATTTTTTTTATTTAAATAAAATGATTAAAATAAAAAACAACATTAACAAAGACCTGCAAAAAGTGCAAACATAGTGCTACAACAATCTTCTAACCATAAACGAGCTAAAAACAGAATATATGATATTTAAAACCACAAAATAAAAATTAAACTTACAAATAAAACTACAAAACCATATTCTACGAGAAAATGAATCAACTATTTAGTGTTAAAAATACAAAATAATTTGAAATGGGATGTTCATGTAGTAAAAGCTGAAAAATGAAAATATACGCACAATTGCAGCTTTAATAATAAAAATTCAAAAATTGATGCCAAATAACATGAGAAACCTTTATATCACGCACTGTTTACCTCAAGGATGAACTATTTAATGAATATATGGAGTAATACGACCGAAAAGAATTTAAACGCATTGCAACACCAACAAAATAAAATTTTAAAAGTTAATATATAAATTACACAAAAGAACACCAACACACATATTATTTGACACAGTGCAATAACTAGATATAAAAATTAATACTTTTAATAGCTTGCTACTGCTGACGTTGTATAAAATAAAAAACAGTACTATAAAAACAAATATTAAATTAAATACAAACAAGGAAGTTCACAATTACAAAACACGGGGAAAGTCACATATTATTAGAAGCCATAAATTAAAAATAAGACATTAACACAGGGACTAACAACAAAAGAAACAATTCAAACATCCAATAGTTTAGCAGAGGAGGTAAAAATTGAAATTTATACAATTCAAAAGAGAGGATTAAATGGTTAATATTAAATAGAACCATACACTAAATCCAGAAATCGACGACAAAATTAATTAAAAAGATGCCTTCGATATCATGTGGCCAAGATCTGGTACCAACAGGTCACTGATGTTGCGACAGATGAAGAAGGACGACACCCAATCTTCTATGATATGTATATTATGCTGTACATTATTTATGTGTTGTATATATGTTTTATATGAGGGAATAAATAAATTGATTAAAAAAACTTGATTTAAATCATGATTTAAATCAATTGATTTAAACAATTGAAGAGCTGGCTGCAATAACCAGGCAGCTCTATTTTTTTAATTGGTGGAAAATCGAAACGAGCTGCTCGATTCTTCCCAAAATTTTGCTGCAAACCCAAGAGCAAGGCAGCTCCAACTAACGTCGCCATTTATGTATTATTATATGGAACTGATTGTTGCACGAAACGATCAGCCAATTTTTTAAGGGTATTTAATAAAAAATATCATTTTTCGAAAAAAGTGGAGCTGCTTGGTTATTTAATCTATACTAATATATAAAATCCTTACAAGTGACTGACATACTGATTAATCACGATCCTGCTCAAACCACTCAACGTAAGAAGCTCAATTTTGGCATACAGGTTGAATCTAGGGTGTAGAGGTTCGATAAGAAGGATTTTTCGAAATTTCAGTTCCAAGAGGGTGAAACCACCCCTCAAATATTACAATATTTTTATTTAAAAAACGGTCAAGTTTCTGAAAAAACGCTTAAACTAGCGTATATTTTGTTTTTTGTATTTTACATATTTTAAGATTTTTTTAAAAATGTATACAGGGTGTTTTGAAAAATCTGGTCTTGATTAATCACGATCCTGCTTAAAGCGCTTGACGTAAAAAGCTGATTTTTGGAAAACAGATTGACTTTAGGGTGTAGAAATTCGATAAGAATGGATTTTTCGAAACTCGAATTCTAAGGGGTGAAACTATCCCTCAAATATTAAAATATTTTTTTATTTAAAAACCCCGTGAGTTTTCGGAAAAACTCTTAAACACATATATTTTTATTTTCACATTGTTTTACATATTTTAAGATTTTTTTATAAATTTATACAGGGTGTTTCATAAAATATGACCATTGAGTAATCACGATTCTGCTTAAACTGCTTGACGTTTAAAGATGAATTTTGGCAAACGGATTGACTGTGGGGTGTAGGCAGTTCGATAAGCAGGGGTTTCTCGAAAATCATACAGGGTGTTCCAAAAAGTTGAGTAATTTCTTAACCACGATTCTGCTTAAACTGCTTGACGTAAAAAGCTTATTTTTGGCAAACGGATTTTTCGAAAGTCAAATTCCAACGAGATGAAACTACCCCTCAAATATTACCAAGTTATATAATAATATGGCCATATTGTTTTTTCAAATGCTGACATAAATGTGAGAAAATTTTATCCAGTTTGTATGTTAATGGAAATTCTTGCTTTGCTTTATCATCACCATTACAAATGATTAATTCGAGGCGAACGAAGTCGCTGGTACACGCTAGTACAATATAAAACAAGGGAATGCAAAACTTTTGAATCTATCTGCATTTAAAGATCATCCCCAAATCATAATTGTCCACTCTTCTTACGGTCCTCTGCATCACCAGACCTACTATACAACCACCAGCCGGACTATTGCTGGTCGATATACGTTCGCCACCACGCTGGCTGCCGATGGCGATGCCGCCAGCGACGGCGGTATCGCGTCATAGCGGCGGCGACGACGGCGATCGTCATTCGTTTCACGGCCGGCTCGACGCGAAGACGCGGCGCCGACACCTAGAGCTACCAGCGATAGAGCCACCGACGGGCGCGAGAGATTGAGCGCGCGTGGTCAACACAGAGAAGACGCGTGCGGTATTTCGCTCAGCTGTTGGACGATTGGCGTCGCGGCGCTTACGGGTATCGCGACAGATTCGATCTTAAGGGACGATTTTAATTATTGGATGCGTTTGTTTGTTTCTCGCTGAGACTAAATGACTTTTAAGTAATTGAAAGATAATAAAAGGAGGGACTAAAACGTAGATAATTGGTTTGTGAGGGATAAATAACATTAAAGTGAGTGGTTGTTGACTGTATTTAAATGGAACTTTCAGGGAAAGTTTTTCAGAAGGAATATTAAACATTTTAATGTAAGTTATACATGTAGTTAATTTTTATTTATGATGGCATTTATTTATGTAACAATTTTTCTTATTGCTACAAAATTAAACAACTTAAATTTAAATAATATTTATACCCTTGGAAAAAAGTTTGGCAATTTTGCAACTGAAACAGAAAACAAGAAAATAAAAAAGTTGAAAATAAAAAAGTTATTTTTTAATGCCTCTGAGTTTGAATAACTTAACCGACTAAAAACATTTATCGTTTTAGGAGGTATAAATATTTTATTTAAAAGTTTTGCAAATGTAAAATGTAAATAATGTTTATACTTTCGTGGAGGGTTTATTTCGTGAAAACATCCTAGAGATGTTAAATAATGTAGTGATTAGCGAGGTCTGGGTCTTATACAAAAAACAAGGCCAAGTCTAGCGTTAGATCTGCAAAAGCAAGAGCAAGGCAAGACCGACCCTGGCAAGATTTACGCAAGACAGAGATCCAGCATACAATGTTATTGCGGTCTCACATTTTTTTACGTTTTTTTTTTATTTACAACTTTTATTTTTCATAGGTAATAATAAAAAAAATGTTTCTCTTAACTATTACAAGAAAATATACGCTTTATTTTAACCGTCAGCATGTTAGCAATAAGCCATACTCGTGTAATTTTTTTTTGTCAAAACATACCCAATATTGCCGTATTAGACCATTCAAATAATTAAATATGATATAAAAATTTACATATTTGTTCAAAATTATTCTTTTAATTTATTACAACTAATTTCTTCCAGACTTTTGCATAAAACTTTAAAGGAAGCAATGCTGATTCAATAGATATTCAAAAATAACATTTTTCGTCATACACAGTTTCTTTATTTAAAGTATAGTTTGTACAAAATTACTTAAAATATTATTTATCTAAATTTTTTTAATGTAGAAAGTGCCTTTAATAAGAATTTAAAATAGTACAATACTTGCAAGACCAAGCCTTGGTCTTGGTCTTGCAAGTATTATGCATTGAACTACTGAACTATTTGTCAAAATTTAAGACGAAAATCAAGATTCTCTTGGTCTCATTATCACCAGTTAAATTGGAAACACATTTTGCCAGTCTTGTTCGAAAAGTTCGACTAATATCTCAAGCGAGGTATATTATAGATTCTCTATACTATTAAAACTAAATAACATCAAAATATTACTGTATTTGATTTGATTATATTATCATTAAAATAGCGAATTACTCTATATTCAAACAAATTTAAAAACTAAATCTAGTTTTAAAGGTGTCGAAATGATTGAAAGTGATGTAATTTAGAAAATAGGTACCTATCTAATATTCAAAAAATGGACGTTTCTGAAAGGGTTTGAGCAAAGAGTTTGAATAATATAGGAATATGTGTAAAAATCTTAGCGAAAATTAGTTATAAATGGAAGACTATGCGCTCCTTCAACTTCAAAAGGTGATGTGATAGCTAGTTTGCCGTGTTAACGAAATACGACACTGTGCAACTAAAAAGATAAATGTATATTCTAACTAAACGAGAAACATGAACACCTTCTTTTGCTTTGTTTTCGGAATTATAATGAATATAGTTTCACCTCAAGTGTAAATCCTACGTTTAAATTATAGTGTCATATCTACAAATATTACGAAGCAAGATCTTACATTTTTCAACGCGTCAAATTAAGGGGTTTTTCGTTAACACTGCAGTAGTGCAAGCAATAATTTCTTGCAAGTAAAATTAAGGAGCTTCATATGAACAATATACGCAAGTTAGATAGTTCAATATTTAAGAAAGTCTTATAAAATTAAGGGGTAATTAAAAAAAAATGATATCATGCGAAGTTTTGTAACTTTTTTAAAATCAAAAAAATGTGTTTAATAAAGTTTCTATTATAACACTTAGAAACTTATCAAACAGCATACATGAAGTTTTGGGAATTATAAAGCTTTTGTTAATAGAAAAGGTTGGCTAGCGTGTTTTAGGATTTGGTTTTGTAATAGAATTTAAAAATTTGGTAGTGGTTAACCGAAAAGATTTGTGTAGTATTCCACTCGGCTGTTGGACGATTGGCGTCGCGGCGCTTACTGGTATCGCGACAGATTTGATCTTAAGGGACGACTTTAATTATTGGATGCGTTTGTTTGTTTTTCGATGAGACTTATTGACTTTTAAGTAATTGAAAGATAATAAAAGGAGAGACTAAAACGTAGACAATTGGTTTTTGAAGGATAAATAGCATAAAAATGAGTGGTTGTTGACTGTATTTAAATGGAACTTTCAGAGAAAGTTTTTTGGAAGGAATATTAAACTTTTTAATGTAAGTTACATAGTTAATTTTTATTCATTTATTTAGTTAACAATTTTTCATATTGCTACAAAAGTAAACAACTTAATTTTAAATAATATTTATACCCTTGGAAAAAAGTTTGGTTATTTTGCATCTGAAAAATAAAAAAGTTATTTTTTAATGCCTCTGAGTTAGAATAACTTAACCAGCTAAAAACATTTATCGTTTTAGGAGGTATAAATATTTTATTTAAAAGTTCTGTAAATGAAAATAATGTTGATACTGTCGTGGAGGGTTTATTTTTTGAAAACATCCTAGAGATGTTAAATTTAGTGATTAGCGAGACTAGTCTTGGTCTTGTACATAAGCAAGACCAAGTCTAGCGTTATATCTGCAATACCAAGAGCAAGACCGATCGTAGCAATATTTACGCAAGACTAAGATACAGCATGCAATGTTATGCGGTCTCACATTTTTTTTACGTTTTTATTATTTAAATTTTATTTTTCATAGGTAATAATTAAAAAGCAAATAACGAAATTTTTATTTACACTAACCTCTATAATTTATTAACTAAAAAAAAATAAAAAAGTTTCTATTAACTAGGTATTACAAAAAATATGCGATTTAGGGTAGCCGTCAGCATGTCAGTTGGCCATATTCGTGGAAAAATATTTTTGTCGAAACATACCCAATATTGCTCTATTAGTTAAGGCACTCATATTTTTTAGACAATTCAAATAATTAAATATGATATAAAAATTTTCATATTTGTTCAAAATTATTCTTTTAATTTATTACAACTAATTTATATAATATTATTTATCTAAAGTTTTTTATTGTAGAAACTGCCTTTAATAACAATTTAAAAAAGTCAAGAGCAAGATCAAGACCAAGTCATGGTCTTGATCTTGCAAGTATTGATTGCACTTTTTAAAATTTTTATTAAGGGCTCGTTCTATATTGAACTATACTGAACTACTTGTTAGATTGCAAGAAAGACTCTCTTGGTACATTATTTTGCCTTTTTTGTTCGAAAAGTTCGACTAATATCTCAACCAAGGTATAGGGTAAGTCCGGTAGAGATGCCCCACTTTTCTTTGAGGCTAATAATACATATTGGTAGTTAATTTTAAATGAAACTAATGATGCAATCCTAAATTATCTTTAATAATAATTCATAATAGGACTAAGATACTAATATAATAAGTAAGTATATAATATAATAGAAAGAGAATAATAAAAAAAATAGAAAATAGTAAAAAAAAAAATAAATTCCAACATGGGAGAAATGCCCCGCAAAAAAATACATCTTCATATTGGTTAAATATCTAAGGTTATTTTTTATTTTTTTAACTAATATCCAAAAGTTGAGGATGGCCCTATGCTTGCATTTTTCTTTGTTGTTGTTTGCCCCCCTACGTCTCAAAGTCCTTGTAGGGATTCCAAAAACATGCATTATGCTTTTATGCCCATTTGGTCGGTATTAATCGGTTGCAAAGCAGCAGCCAATGATTTTTCAAACCACTGAGCGCTTTCAGAACATTTTATTTTATATTCAGAAGGCATGATTAAAAAAAGTTACTTTTTAGTAAACGAATTAGTAGGGCATCTTTACCAGCTTTCTATGTCGTATCTCTCCCAATACGATGGGAGAGATGCCCCACCGCAAGGTTTTAAAATGCAGCGACATATGATTAATTTTTTGAAGTTATGATACTTCACGAAGCATGTATTTTAATATAAAATGGCATGAAATACCAAAAACTTACATAATATTACGCGACCTCTGACAGTAAAAAAACATGTACTTATATGAAAACAGTTCTTTGTAAAAACTAGCCCATTTTTTTTATTGACATTCAAATTATGTCAGACCATAATAGCAGCAGGTAAACTACTGCCGTATCTAGCGGAAAGCAACTGATAAGTCACATGATTAGAAGTTTACACGCTGTGGCCATCTCACCCGGTGGGGCATCTGTACCGGACTTACCCTATTATAGATTTTCTACTATTAGAACTAACGGTAAAAAAAATCGGTAACATCAAAATATTACCGTATTTGATTTTATTATTATCATTAAAATTGTGAATTGCTCTATACTCAAACAAATTTAAAAACTAACTTAACTTCTTGTTTTCAAGGTGTCGAAACGATTGAAAGTGATGTAATTCAGAAAATATCTAATATTCAAAAAATTGACGTTTCTGAAAGGTTTTGAACAAAGAGTTTGAATAATGTACGAAAATGGGTAAAAATCTTAGCGACAATAAGTTATAAATGGAAGATGCCCTACCTCAACTTCAAAAGGTAATAGCTAGTCTGCCGTGTTAACCAAATACGAAAGTGTGCAATTAAAAAGTTAAAAAGGTATATTCTAACTCTAACTACACGATAGACATAAACAACTTCTTTTGCTTTGTTTTCGGAATTATAATGAATATAGTTTCACCTAAAGTGTAAATCCTACGGTTAAATTATCTACAAATATTACGAAACAGGATCTTACATTTTTCAACGCGTCAAATAAAGAGGGTTTTCGTTAACACTGCAGTAGTGCAAGCAATGATTTCTTGCAACAAAAATTAAGGAGCTTTATATGAACGATATACGCAAGTTAGATGGTTCAGTGTGGTTCAGTATTTAAGGGAGTCATATAAGATGAAGGAGTAATTAAAAAAAATTATATCATTCAGTTTTGTAATTTTTTTAAAAATAAATTTATCTAATAAAGTT